TAGCAGTTCCTAGGGTGGGTTGTCTGGATAGGGGCACGAATCTTCCTGGTTTTGCCTGTATGACGTTTATGGCTCCCGTTTGTTCAAGTTGTTTGATCATTTGTTGGTCCTATCCTTGACGTGTTGGTCACTTGGTGGGACGGGAATCCTACCCAGTTGACTTCAAATTTGACCCGGACTCACCTTACTCGTCTTTATTTCTGTCTCTCAAAATCCACCTTCTTCCTTCTTTACTTCGGCTCCTGACGCCGGCCTCGTCCTAGGATCATCTGGCTTCTTCATTGAGCTGTACTCAGATGCTTTCCCGGACTCCGTCCCCATATCGGTCCCGGTATTCGTAATTTCTGTTGGCCCGGGGCTTCAGTCTTTGGGCGTCGAGTATTTCCTCCTGCCTTCTCTTCCCCCCCTGTTGGGGTAGTTCAGATCTGTTGTCTCACTCTAATTACTTACCCACTACCTGGCCCCATAGGCTACTCTCCTCCTCTGGGGGGGGTTCTTCATGAGATTCTGTCGCCTGTTGCCTCTCCCATATATCCGATAAACTCCATAAGCACTCATGATAAACATTACAGCAACTCCCACACTTCCAATTATTCCACCCACCATACTCCCCTGTGGCCCTTTGGGGTGACTCCCCTGTCCCTCGTCCATTTCTGGCCTATTCGATTCGTCTCGTCCCGAGAGTGGGTTGCCTAGTTCTGTTGCGTTAACTTTCGAACCCTCCCCCCCGTTCTTATTCCCCAAGGCGCCTCGGGTCAACTTATCCTGCTCCTCGTGGGAGGGAGGACTTTCGATGTTCTCCCCAGTAGGTCCTGCCCCGGTGGGGTCCCTGTCTCCTTCTCCCCTCAGTGTCGGTTCGCCTGTTAGGGTTTGGGACGCCAAATCTGCCCTGATTAGTCGTCTGTTAACGCCAGGATCCCGATGGCTGTCGCCGAGTCCTCCTTTGGGCTCCTCTATGGCCGAGGTGGGTTTCGTTCCCTCTGGCTTTTTCTTTTGGGGCTCAGAATTTGTGGCCCCTCCTCCGCCTGGCTCTTCTGTGGTTGCTTGTTCTCCATCATTTACGTGATCTCTCACTTGCGACGGATCACAGTTGCAAATTGTCCCATCTGACGGCTCGTCCTCCGGACATTCCTTGACTGCCACGCAGAACTCATACTTGTTCCTGTTTGGTGGGCACTCGAAACACCTGTTCTCCCCATATTCTATCTTGTCCCCGAATAGATCGTCTAAACCCACCTGAGGACAGGTGGGACATAATTTCTTGAGAGAACTAGCCACTGTCACTATTAGACTTATGAATTCCACACTACATTTGCTGAAGTTATTGTTGGCTTGACATACCTCGCCTGATCTCTGCAGCCGTGTCCAGTTCTCATCCCCTACTATTACGACATCTTCCTGCTCCTTCTTCATTTGGTGTTTTAGTTTCTCACATCCTCCCCACACCTGCTCGTCTGTCTTGATTAGTCTTGACCCTTGGCTCCAGATCCAGGATATGATGCAACCAATGAACCCTAACAGCGGCTGACAGTCGGCTGACTTATCACACGGTCTCCCAGATGCTTGGTTTATGAAACTCTTCCAAAATCTCGTCTCGGTCCTCCCCACATAGCTGTCCTCCTTTGCATTATTCTTCTTATTCTTACTACTCTCTATAGCATCTTTCAGCACGGCATCCACTACATCTTGCCATATGACGCTTTCACCTCCTATTTTGGTTGTTAAGGCTCCACTATCGAAACCTTCCCCCTGCTTCAGCATGGGGTTGCCCTGCAGTCCTAACTGTTGGGGCCACTGGTAAACCCCTGCTACTGGCCTGTTGTATTGACCCCGAAATGCCGGAATCTTATAGCAATACTTATAGCTGTTCTGAGGATCACACCTCTCCCTCTCGGTGCTGATCCGCCTGCGCTCCCCTAACCACTCATACTTCTCTCCTGAGCTCCGTCTCATCTTTCTAGATATTGAGTCTGTCCACTGTTGTTGTTCCTCCTGGCAGTTTTGTCCTTGACTCGTCCCCTTCAAGACGGTTTCTTACTGTGGCTCCCTCCTAGGCTTCGGGTCCGGCTTGGAGGCCTCTGACGTGTCCACGGACGTAAAACCTTCATTGAGTCCATGGGCTCCGGCATTCCTTTGAGGAATGGATCTCTTGCTCCTCCTCGTTGTCCCTTACCATGCTTTGCCTCTTCATTCCGGTAGGAATAGTCTCCCCTGCCATGGTCTTGCGCTCCGCCTCCCTTCGCTGTGGGGTTCAGTTGTTCTGTCCAGTTGGAAGCCTTGGACTCCCCCTGGGGTTGACTCCTGCACTCATCCGGTCCTGCTTCCCCTCTCCGGGG